TCTTTTTAAAATATGCCCGGTTTTTTTGGGAGGAAAAAAAAAAAAAAAAAAAAAAAAAAAAAGGAAATAATCTAAATATCACTAGGGTATTTGTTAAACTGTGAAGCTTCCATACAATGAAATAGTATACAGCTGTAGAAAATGGGAGATTCTTCTCTATGTATTGTTATGATGCGCTCCCCAAAATACATTAAGTGAAAAAAAAAATTTAAGACATTGTATATACCAGTACGTAATCTTTTGTGTAAAATGAAGGAAAACATATCTCTGTAATTATGTAAAGAAACTGGAAGGATACACACGAAACACTAAGTGGTTCTCTCTTGTGAGGAGAAGGTGATATCTCTTTTGTATTTGTTTTCAGAATCATATAAATTGTAACTTACTCAAAAATAAGGTAGACATTTCCATGTAATTGTTAATTATAGCTTTTTCATTTATAAAGTGGGTTGTACTTTTGCATGCATTATTTCATTTCACCTTCACCTCGGCCTCTTAGACCTTACATGAAAAAGTTTAGAAAATATATAATTTAGAATTTGACTTTTAACTGTAAATCCAGTGTTCTCTCCACTACAGTTATAGATATCGAATAGGGCCTCACCACCTACTCATTAACTCTATGAGACATCTTTTTTATGGAGGTAAAGGTCAGAAGTTTAGAATTCATTTCTACAGTGTTTTAATGATTTAGAGGTTTCTTGCAAGGGAGGATGTTCTCAAACACATGGGGGTTTGTTTTCAGGACATGCGAACATCTCCATTTGTCAGTGGGTTTAAATCAATAGAGCTCTCCTGTTTTTCCTCCTCCTCTGGGGGTTCTAACATAAAGAGGCTGTCTGGTTGGGCTGAAGGTCACTCCTGCCAAAACCTAAGTGCCTAGCCAGGACGAGAAGATAGGGTGTTTGGGAAATTAATATAGGAACACCATATAAGTCAGGAAAGGACTTTTAAAAAGAGCCAAAGGACTTGGAAGAGAGGAACTGAAGACTGAAAGGGTGTCAGCGTGAAGCCTTGGATAAGGCTGGGAAAGGCAGTGATCTGAGAGTAAGAAGGAAGTTAGGATTTCAACGGTTCACCGGCGCTGGCTGAAAGAACAGGCACCTCCATGAACAAGCACAGTTGTATTTCTTCTCCCTCTTTTATCGATTCCTTCCCTCCTCCCCATTTTGGTTAGGGGAAAGACCAGATTTATCAAAAGTTTCACTCCAGGTAACTGGAGGGAAGTGAGGGTGAACTGCAAGAAAATAGGAAAACATATATGAGGCAGGGAGGCAGGTGACAAAATAGCCTGGCGGGTGCTGGGAAAGCTGCAGAAGAGAAGCAGCCCCTAAGCAGTAGGCTCCAAGCTCCAAGCTCTTTAAGGCATCTCCCTCAGAGGAAGAGCAAAGGCTTTGGGCTGCACCCAAGGCCTGCAAAACAGTTCTCTCTTCCCACCCCAGCGAAGCTCCAGGGCTGGGAGGCTAAGTCAGTGGGTCATGGGCTGGTGGTTTCCCTCATGTTCTCTCCCACACTATTTCTTACCCTGTCTTCTGATACCCTCTGTCAGATGCCCAGCCTTTTCACCCTCAAAGGTGTATGCATCTGACGGACCTCATTCCTGCCTAACTTCATATGTGTGCACCCCCTCAAATCACCATTTATTGTGCATTTGCATAAGGGGTCAATTTGCAGTCACCACCACCTCTTCAGGCTCCATACTCAGCACTCTAAGGGTCTCCCAGGAGGAGTTCACACTTGAATGACTCCAAAACCAAAGGGGTCCTTAAATTTGCACCCTAGGCCCTCACTTGCCTGGCCTTACTCTAGGCTTGGCCCTGCTCAGCACTCTGCTGCCCCAGTGTCCAGGATGAGTTGAGTCTCCTGCTGACTGGGGAGTAAAAGCTGGGAGCCAGGGCATCAGGAGGGAGGTGGACAGGCCTAACTTGTGGTATCTTGAGGTTTATGTTTCGGGAGGGGCAATGAGGGACCTACACGTCGGAGCTGTCCAGTGTCCCCTACTCTGTTGCACCCTTTTTATCAGGGGACAAGAGTAAATGACTAAGAGAGGAAATCAGTGACACAGCCATACATCCTTTATTCAACTGACAGGGACCGTAAAGAGCATATTATAGATCCCTAAGTATACAGAAGAAGGTCTCCTGTTGGGTAATCTGTGGGAAGTTCACAGTCCATCAGAGGGAATTAAGTCAAACAAAGCTACAAATCTGGCAGGCACGGAGGAGCTGGGCTGGATGGCAAGTGGGCATACACTCCCAAAGCTTCTTGGAAAAGAGCACCTTGGTGCACAGTGAAATGAGGCATGGTAGGGAAGTGGTGGCAGGGGTGGGCTTGGCTGAGGAACATACTGAGTACAGGAACTGTGATCACACTCAGTCTCCCAGGCCTGGAATAGCCAGTGCCTAACACATAGTAAGCACGCAAAAAAATGGCTTATAATGTTGAGACTGACTCTCAGGAGCCACAAGAGATGGGAAGAGACTGAGTAAACCAAAATAGTGAAAAGTAGAAAGCTACTTTGGAAGGGACATGAAGGGAAGAGGAGCCTGTAGGGACTGGAGTAAAGGGCCTGGGTTTGACAGTACTAGCATCCGTGGCCAAGGCCAGGTGTAGGGACATGTGTGTGAAAGAGAGAGTTGTAGAGTGGTGAGATGGCAGCTGAACTGCTATAGCCAAGCCAAGAATCTGAGAAAAGAAAGTGAGAAGTATGAGGAATGGACTCGGCTTAGTAGGCTTAAAGCTGACAGAAAAGAAATCGGACAATAGGCAGAAGGACAGGTAGTGAGTGGGCTCATGATGGAATGGAACTGGCCAGAAGCTTGAAGACAGAAACTATGCTGGAAGGAAGACAGGGATTGGGGAGAACAGCCTCAGGAAGGTGTGACACTTCCCAGGCAAAACAAAATACCAAACTAAATGAATCAAAGTGAAAAAGAAGTGGGAGCAAAGGGTGGAAGAAGAGCTTCACTTATTGGGAAAATTAAAGTGATGACAGGAGAAAAAGGGAGAGAGCCTGAGGCCTGGAGTTGAAGAAAGCTGTAGCCAAGCTTCTCTGCCTTAGGAAGAGGGGCTGATCACTTCCCCCAGAGACTTAGGTTCACTTTAACATTTCGGCCTTGGAAACCCCCAAAGGGGTGGCACGTTTGCAACTTTCAGTTCAGTCTGTCCTCCTGGGTGTGCCTAGGAGAGGAGCTGGAGGAGGCAACAAGGCCAGAGCCTGCAAGACAGATCCCTTCCTAAAACCTGGATAGAATCTTCAAAGTAGAGGAATGCATTTTTGGCATAAGTGCCATGGCCTAATTGGTTACAACCTCTACCTAGTCGAGTCTGGGTTCAAAATCTCACTGTATCACATCTTACTAAATGAGCCTGGTTCCCGCTTGTGTCCTGGGCACTCTCTGATGCTCTGGCTGCCCTTGCCCACAGAGTACGCCAAATCATGATTAGAAATCCTTTTCATGGCACCTTATTGTTCTCTAGTGCATTGTCAGATTGGAAAACTTGAGTTCTTAAGGGCTAAGGACAGTTGGCCTTACCCCCCACTTCTGTGTTGAATGCCCACCCCACCTGCCTCCAGGGTAACTTATTGGCCTGGAAAAGGACCACGGAACTAGCAAAAAAGGACCATTTCCTTGGATGTCAGTTCTCCAGTTTTACATTGGATTTCTCTTCTTCGATGTTTCTGCTCCTTTTGTCCTTTCAGATTTCCAGACCCAGAAAGCCGCAGTGCCCATTTTAGAAGCTCCAGCCCCAACCAATCACAGCAACTTGGTAGTTGCCCCACTATAGTTTCTGAAATCAGTGAATGACTCAGGCTTTTCATTGACTGAAGAGAGGGAAAGACCTTGGGACTTGAACACAAATGAGAAGCAACTAACCTAGAGTTTGCAGGAAATCAATCTGACAATGGGTGTAAAGATCCCCTCTCCCCATGTGAAGAGGGTGAGGTATCACTGATTGAAGTGGAATTTGACTTTCTAAGCTAGGGGTTCTCAAACGTTAGCATACCTTACAGATCCTGGAAGGCAGGTGAAAAGACCGATTGCTGGGCTCCACCCCTAGAATTTCTGATTCAGTTTGTCTGGGGTGGAGTCTGATAATTTGCATTTCGAAAATAAGTTCCCAGGTGATGTTGATGCTGCTGGTCCAAAGACCAGATTTTGAGACCCAGAGCCTAGTATAGCACTCCAGGGAATAGGAAGAAATTTTGCCAGTTCAGGATCTCTAAGGGGTCTAAGGGAATAGATTTCACTTTTCTGTTATTGCCTAGCCCCACTCACCCCGATCAGAGATGGAAAGAACCTGTCTTCTGGTACCTATGGTTGAGTCAGGGCTCATCTTCCTGGATACCGGAAACAGTGGTTTGACTGCAGAAGTACTGGAAAGGGAAGGCTTTTTTCCCAGATTATCACCCCTTTTGCTCCCTACTAAAGGCATAACATCACTTAAACAGGGAAAAAGCTTTTCCTTTCACTTTGACTATTAGAGTTAAGGCTTAAAGTGTGAATAGATCTGGGAAAAGCAAACACTTTGGGCTACATTCTCCAGGGTAAGGGATTCTCTGCAGAGATACTTTGATGGTGTGGAAAGGGGAGGATACTTGGGCACTGTATAGGGTAGAGGCACCACAGAGGGAAAAGGTGACAGGTTTCTTAAGATGGGACTTCCCTATTTTACATTTTCCCCAGAGAGAACATAGAGACATTTTTTTATTTAAAGGGGGTAGGGTGGACCTGTGGCAGACAGAGTTAGGAGGAAAATGGGAGTTTGAGGCTGATCCCTGTAGGAAAAATCATTCAATTCTATTCGCCTGTCTGATGGGCATTGCTTATTTTTTGTCCAAGGGAAGTGGTGTTGGACCGAGGTAGAGAAGATAGCGGTGCACCAGAAATGACCTAAAGGGATGCCCCTTCTGCAGAAGGCCCTTAGACTCCATGATGCCTTTCAGTTGGGTGCTATGACTGCACCTACACTTTAAGGGCTTTACTTTCTACCTTTACAATGACTAAAACAATTACTAAAATAGATCAAAGGCTGGAGATTAACATCTGATTGTTAAGAGGTGTGATCTGAGAATATGGAGTCACATCCTACAAGTCTTTAAAACAAGGTTTGTGAGGAGCTGGGTTTGTCAACATGTTCTCTTTTTTAAAAAATGTAGATTGTAAGCAATACCTTTCTAGTCATTAAAGACCAGACTCTATCCTTATACCCTACTGAAAGCTATCTTAGTCCTTAAAATATTTAGTGACCCTTGCCTGGTAATTCTTGACACAAATATATAATGACCATATTTGGTCAGGGTAACTCCCTTTGACCCCAGTTTAGTGATTCCATGGACAGTCTTTAAACCTGCTAAATGTATATGTAAATCTGAGTGGATTGCTAATGTCTGTTTTTCTTGAAAATGAGTTCCCGGTTTTTATCAGATTCTTAGAAGGGTCCCAAAAGGATCTCAATCGTTCTGAACCATTGCTTACTTAGAGGTGATCTGCATTAATGAATATTTGTAATGAGGCATAGTAGAAGGGGAAAGAAATGGCATAGTCTAGTTTTACCACTGGAATCCAATACTTTCTTATTCCTTGGGGCATCTCTTAATACTAGTCCTAAAATGCTCATCTCTGAGGACCTAGGACAAGGCTGCCTTATAAAGGGCTGGCCATTTTGCCCTATTCAAAGGAACATAGGTAAGAGAAGTGCATTCCAGGCAAAAAAGGAAGGCTGCTCTGAGCAGCAGAAGGGAGGCAGCGGCTAGTTTGCTCAAGTCATATCCACTCTAAGCCCAGTCAGCAAAATGACCCCTATTTTCAGCTCCATTTGGGTCCAGGACTCTGAGGAGTTGATTCACCACATTTTTCCTAAGCAAATGGGATAGTCATTAAACTAGATTGTTGCGGCTCACTTCTTCTTGTCTCTCTGGTTAATTCCACCAATTGTGGTTGACAAATAAGTGTGCTAAGGAAAAACCAGAATATAAGCATTAAAGAGAAAATATCCCATTTTCATCCACTCTGCTCTTCTCCCTCCCTAACTCTAAACTGCTCTTACATAGAAGAAAAAATTTAAATTATAAGATTGGTATTAACACATCATCAATAATGAGAAACAGTGAACAACTCATCAACTAACAGATGCTAGAATACTTATGCAAGTCCTGGAGTTAAGAGTCTTAGCGTGGACACATTCCCAGAATTGAGAGGAAAACCGACTGGAAAGCTCATTACCCTGCATCAGCTGAAAAGCTAAACCACAGTCATTTCCCCTAACATTTTGTTTCTTGGAGAATGAGATCCTCAAGAGTAACTCTGCCTCCTTGATAAGGCAATCAGGAACAAACATGAGTAATGACAACAACCTGTAAGCACTGTGATTCCTGCCCTAATCTCCCAGCACTTAAAACAAGACAAAAACCAACTCAGCACAAACCCTCTATATGCATCTTGCTTGCAATCAACAAGAAATAGCTCACCTCACTGAGATGTTTCTTTCTCTCTCCACCCAGGCAAAAAGAATCTGTGGCCCAGAGATTCAGACCTAGACATGTATATCCACAGTTGTCTTGATCTTATTGACATTGAAGAAGGCTTTATACTTCAACTCCCACAAAATAACCCATCACTTAACCATTTCCACTACAGCTCCCTTAATTGCTCAGCTTATTTCCTATGCTGAAACAAAACAAAAACCCCATACAATTCCCACTACCCTCATCCCCAGAACACAGCCCCTAGAAAATCTAGCTTGTACAGTTTGCGCTTTGCATGCTCTCTTCAAAGACCCTGCACACAGATACACACAGACACATAAAGACACAGTCAAGAGGAGAGGGGTCTGTTCAAGGGAATAAAGTTTTTTTCTTCTGTGTGGGCCTCAGATACTTGGGGCTGTAAGGTCCATCTCTTAGCATGGTAGTGTGATCTCTCAGCTGAGTACATGTATGTGCAGGATGAAAGAGTAAGAATAAGGGGGGGGGAGTTATTGTTTCTATTTTTCAGTAGGTTGGAGTGAGAGGTGTGGGTGTATATTTGGATGTATAAGGGTGATGGACCCACACAGGAATGAGGTCTGCCCCTCAACTTTCATTTGGATAAAAAAAGGGGGCTCTGGGTGCCTGGTCACTATCTTTTTCCTGTTTCCTCATTACTGTAACCCAGTGTTCACCAGAGTATTTCATAGAGTCACCAGTTCTGTGGGATGTGAGATAGAAAGGCTACTGAGGCCAAATACATTTAGGAAACACTGCTTTGAAAGAGGCTTACTTACTGCTCTAAGTTTTCAGAGCCTTTAACATGCTAATATGGTGTTCTTTTTCTGTCTCTCTCTCTCTCTCTCTTTCTCTTTATCTCTCTCTCTCTCTGTGTATGTATTTGTATATATGTAATATATATACATATATACGTATATATATATATATATATGTAAAGATAATATAAGTTATAGTATACAATGATGATACTCGAAATATTTAACAATGGTATGGCATAGGCTCCAACTAATCATAATGGATCTCAGCCATAAACCACTGGTACAACTGTACTCTTGAGAAAGGGCTCAGGCTGAATATCAGCTCAAGCAGCGAGCACTGTTTCCCAAAACTTTTGCCCAAAGAATTCTATCTTATGTCGTATCTCACAGAACTGGTGAGAAATGGTCAGTGCTGGAACCTCATCTTTTGAGGGATGAGGTCAAGGCTCATGATCCTGGCTGTTGGGTGCAGGAGAGAGGCAGCTCTAGCAGAGACTGCTGGTAGCACCGGCTGATAGATGTGACCACAGCTGCAGCAGAAACAGATTTCAAAAGACAGATGTCCCTTTGTCCCAGCTGCTCCGGGGACTTTGTCCCTGGTGGGTCAGCAGGTGCCTGTCCAGGTGATGTTTACGGCCAAAGCTCTTCTCACAGCGAGGGCACTGGAAGGGCTTCTCCCCGGTGTGGGTCAGCCAGTGTCTCACTAGGTGGTGCCTTCGGCCAAAGCTCTTCCCACACTCAGTGCACACATGGCACTTTGGCACTGGTGGGGCCCGCTGCCGTTTCCTAGCCCCAGGGCTCTCTCCAACCTCTTGGCCCTTGCAAGATTTGCCTTCTGCATGCACTCTCTGGTGGCTGGCCAGATGGGAGTTGCACCGGAAATTCTTGCCACACTCAGAGCACCTGCTGGGCTTGTCATGTAGGTGGGTTTTCTGGTGCCGGATCAGGTGATGTCTTCGCCCAAAGCTCTTCTCGCACTTGAGGCAGCTGTAGGGCCTCTCCCCAGTGTGCGTTTGCTGGTGCCTCGCAAGGTGGGAGCCCCACACAAACTGTTTCCCACACTGGGGGCATGTGTGCGGTCTTAACAGGGAATCCATCTCTGTGCTACACAGAAGGTTTGAGAAGCTATCTTCCTGAAGAAAAGGTGGGCCCAGGAGCATTCCTCTGGAGCTCCTGGGCATGGAATCCCAACTTTCATCCTGCTCTGGGTTCCAGAGAACTGTATCTTCAGACACACTAGATAACATTCTGGGAGGTTCTGCTTCTAGTTCAGGGGTATCCCCCTCATGCTCACTTCCATCTCCTGTGGAGAAGGGAAAATACCAACCCCAAGAGGGGAGTCACAAGAGAGTACCCCAGACCCAAGTCACAGGTGAGGTTGTATGATGTCTGCTAGGGCCTAAACATCACCCTACAAAGGCTGAGAACAGATTTTAATGTACAAAACAGTGAAAGAGGTATAGAAGTTAAAAGCCTAGGCTTAGAAGACAGACTACCAGGTCTTGAATCTCAGCTTTCTCACTTCTGTAAGCCTTCATTTCCTCTTCTGTAAAATGGGAAATATTATAAGATAGATAGCTCAGTACCTGCACATAGTAAGCACTTAGTAAATAGTCTATGCTATTGTGATTATTTTTTACTATCATTTTTTCCCCACTGGTTTTTGTTTGTTTGTTGAGTTTTTTGTTTTTGTTTTACTATTACCATCTTCCTGCCTAAGCATAAATGGAGAGAGCTAAGAAATGTGCTTCAATCATCATTGGCTGGGTGACCACCTGTCAGTAATACCAGAGACATTATGGAAGGCATTTCTACAATGGGTGGGAAGTTTAACAAAAACAACATCAATGATAACAACTACTAACATTTATTGAGTGCTTATTATGTACCTAGTACTGTTCTATGTTAACATATTTAAGTCTCACAATAATTTACATATGAAGAACACAAAGAGAGGTTAATAACTTTTCAAGGTCCTACAGATATGGTCCTGAATTCAAATCCATAAAGTTTGCCTCCAGAGCCTACCCTCTAAACCAGTCCACTACACTGTGTTGCTTTTGAAGAACAAGAGCTCTAAAGCTTTTGACTTTATAACTTTCTGAGGCAAAGGAGGGTTTAGAGGGACATGTAATAATGACACTCCAAGAGGGGTGAAGGCAGTGACTGAAAACCCATTCTACATTCTTACCTGTATATGTGACCCTCAGGATGTCCCTCTCCTCTAAGTCCTGCGGGTCAGGGACCCACTGTTCTTCCCCTCCTTCTAATTGAGAAAGCATGTCCAGTTTGGGAATTGGAAATCCTGCCCATGAGAAAGGAAAATAAAGATGTCAATTAGTTCAACCGTAATTCTATATTTCTGAGAAAAGATTTTTCCTAGATTGTTCCTTGGAACTCTATATAAAAGAATACAGGCCTTTTCTTCCTTCCCACTTCCATTTTTTAAGTCCCTCTTCTTTCTTCTAGGAAATCACGATCTCTTCCCCAATGATTCTGTTTCCTTCCACTTGTATTTAAAATAATTCCAGCCCAACTGTCCTTTCTGGTCATTTCTGAAGTGAACTGTCCTTTCACTTCATTTAATTAGCTCTAAAACAGCTGTCCCATCCCCTGCACTCCCACCTTTCCCTAGATAGTTTCTGAGTTTCTAAAGACACAGTTCCATCTCTTAGATGTCCTTCTCTCTGCTTTCTAAGAATCTGCCAATTCCCAACTAAGAAGAATCTAAAGTTTCCATAATCCAGCATTATCTTGCTGTTGTCTTTTTAAAAAAATGATGCCTCACTTCCATTCTTTTGATTAGCCCTAGTGCTTGTTCTCTGGCGGAAGCCTAGGCTGATTCCCTACCAAGAGAAGAAAGCTAGACAGACACTATCCAACAGCCCTAGAGCACATGGCTCCATCCTCCCAGAGCATAATCTTTTAGTGGCTGGGGAAGGTCATGCTTACTTAGAGAGACCACTATCCCACAGTTTTCCTGCATGACATATTCTCCATAAAAGTCTGTCTGAGAAGGGTCCAGGCTCCGCCACTCCTCCTGAGAGAAGCACAGTGACACATCCTTGATGGTTACCAGGCCCTGAAACAAAATGTAGCATCATCTGTCACCAGCTGTTCCTTAAGGAAAATGTGATCTCAGTATAAAAGGCTAGGATATTAGAGGAGAGAAGGCAAGAGAAGATCTAGAGAAAGAATTGCCCAGAGGTCCCTGGGTAGGGCACGCACTTTTGGTGAAGGGAAAATGAGGAGAGGGGTAAAGGTAATGGTCATGAGTGAGGATAGTGTCTCTAGAGGAATTTCTCAAGTGGGACCATGAGAAGTCAGAGGCACCAGAAACTCACTGCTCCCTCTATATAGCTACAGGTGTCTGCCCAGTCTCTTCTCACCTGCCTTACTATTTTCATTGAAGAAACTGTGTACTATCTCCTCTTTCCTCCACTTGACCTTTCCTTTTCTATGAGCACAAAATGACATATATAAACATTCTCCCCCATCCCTGCCATCATGCCATATCATTATCTTTTGACAGTGTTCAGGAGTCCAGATTCTGGAGCCAAATTACTCCTACTTCTGCCATTTATTAGCATTATGCCTTAATCTCTTCCTGCCCTTTTCCATAAATGCCCCATCATCCATCCAATCCTGTCCACTTTATGTTCTTCCAAACTTCCTTCAGGTTCTCTTTTCCTAATCTTTCTAGATTTATTTCTTAAAGGACTAATGAATTATTCTTAAAATCCCCCTGTGGATAGCACAGTAGTCGTCTATTTAAAAAAAAGTCAAAATCTAACCCCTAGGAATTCTGCTCTTGTTATTCCTCTATTCATTTTGTCAAAGGTATTATGAGCCCCTTGGAAAGGGGCAGAATCTGTTCAGTTATAAGATGAACATTCTATTAGTTATCATGTGAAATAACATCAGTAGGATGATGCTAAGGCTATAGGGAGGCAGCAGTGATGAGACCCTGGGAGAGGCCAAGAGAAGCACACAGCCCACCTGTGATCCGGCTGCAAGAAGTGCAGCTGCCATCTCCCAATCTCCGGTACTCCCCTCCTGGGGAATGGCAGGAGCCCAGGGAGCCGACTGAGCTGGTAGGAGAGAGAGGAACCATTAGAGATGGACCATATACCCTTTTCCAGTAAGAGTCTGGGCCCCATTTTAGAGGGGCTTAGGGATCACATTTTTTCCCTGTACCTATGCCCATTGGTAGAACTCAAATGCGTAAATGTAGAAGAGACCTTCACTCAAAATATTCTGTAAGAGTATCGAGTGGTTTTTAGCTGTCATCCATCTCTACTAGACTAGCTGTGGTCTGAATTTGTATTATTTGAATGTAATTTTCATCTTGTAAAGTACATCTTACTGGGTGTGTTCTCCAACAGTGTTGCTGTCACTTCCTTTGTCTCAGACATTCAGTACCACTAAGCATGCATATGCAGCATATGGAGGGAATGATTATGCAAGAAATGAGAGAAACCTAGTTGCCTGGTCTGCAGAATCCAGGAGCTTCTTATATTCCCATGATCAGGGCCCAGGAAGAATTGACTAGTCCTGGTATTGATTATGTTGTTCCCATGGCAATTTGGGAATTTTTTTTTAATTTGAGAATTTTTAACTCTACTTTTGAACAGAGATTAGAAGACTACTGTCTGCACTGTGCTTCCCACACTCACACCCTCCAGGCTCTCACCCTTCTCTTGAAGGGACTGTGGCTCCTCTTCAAGGTCACAGCACAGGTGTTCCAGCGGCCCTGGTGCTGTTCTCCACGGCCCCTCCTCTTGGCTTCCCCTTTCCACATGCGGCTCTGCTCCATCCAGCTGGACATTTATCGATTCCCATCCTGTCCCCAGGGCTGCTGTCTGTTCTGAAAGCATTTTTGCTGCAAACCCAAATTGTGACCTGAAACAAATTCATATCAGTTGTGCCCATGAAAATGGAAAGGGTTGGCATTCCTAATGGAGTTATGGAGAATAGCCCATGGATAAAAGATAAAACTGGATAAGAGGAGCTTGATGGAAGATGAACTTTAAAAGCTTGATGTGTTTCAATCAACTGAGCCTGAGCCCAGCTTCCTGGAGGAACTAAGAAATGGACAGGTGCTACAAAGCAAAGTCACTAATGGTTATTTTAGGACCCTCATGGTAGAAATGGAATATCCCTGAAGGCTGGAAGAACTTCATTTTAAAGAAAGGAACAATCTTGGAAATTCAAAAGCTATGCATTAATTTGAACCACTGAAAATACAGTAAAGTAAGCAATTGAAACATGCAAGAAGGAATGCACACAGACTTGCACTCAACAAAAATAGATGTAATCACATATAAGATTTTCTGCCACAAATCCTATTCTCATCAATTAGTTTAGAATGAAATGACTACTATAAGTCCCAGCCAAAAGGTGTATTTGTGTCATGAGCACATACCTCTATTATGAAGCCAAATGAAATGTTGCCTCACTTAGGACGAGCCTCAACAAAGAGACATATGACCTGTCCCTCTGATGGAGAAAATGAAAACTGATAGTAATTATGGTAGAAAGACCAATAACTTGAAAAGCAGGTGTAAGACTCCAAAGCAACCCTAACAGATAAAAGGAATTGTTGGTAAGTGAGGAGCTAATGTCTAACTGGAAAAGTAAAAAAGAACAGAAAAGGTTTGGCCCAGAAGTGTAAAGGGAGAAAGCATTTGCTGCTAATATGACCCCACTGTGAATTAACAGGCCTTTCATTTAAGACACAGGAAAGAACCTAAGACACAGAAAAGAACAAGTCAGATCTCCTTAGAAAAATATATTCTATTTTAAAGAAAGGTATGGGGAAGCCAGAGTGTATACATCAGAAGAAATAAAAGTGAAGAAAAGGATGGGAAATACGGCCATTGAGGAAAAGCTAAAAATGATGCACATAGTTTTCTCTCGCCTAGGGAAGAAGGCTGAAGAATGACACTACCAATGAATAAAAAGAGAGAGTTTTCTATCTATACAGATCTCCTCTTTTGATTTTAAGAGAAGAGATTTAGGTTAGATGAAAACATTTCTTAGCAATCATCTGGCAGTGCGCAGGACTGGGTATGTGGACTCTTCTTTTCTCTGGACATCTTAGGAGCAGAACGACAGTTCCCACTTGTGTTGTGATAGGGGCCTCGCTGCCTTATGGCAGAGAAACCGTCTATGAGACTGAGCAGAGTCCCTTTCTCCTTGGCAACATAATATTTTTGTGATTCTTATTCAATACTCAAGCAGTCATAGCCAGTGAAAAGCTTCCAAAAACAGGTCAGAACCTTGGTAACTATCCTGGCTCATTCACATCCACCCAATAACATTTGCAAAAACCCAGGAGCCCATGATAGGTCATGACAGATAACAAATTGTTTATTTTCTTGCCATTTGTCTTTGACAAAAGAGGTAGATGGGAACCCTAAGCCCAATTCACAGAAAGGGAACAAATTCTCCTTTCATCTCGGAAGTCCAAAGACGTCTCAAGGCCTCGTGGGAGCATCCTGGATTGATTCCCAGTTTAAGAGGTTTCCTTTTCAGAGACTTTTCATGAGAAAGGAAAATTCCATTTTAGCTCTTTCCTCTGAATTCCACCCCTGTATTCACTTCACTTTTAACAATTCCCCCTCTCCACCAGAGGTCTTCCTTGTTCTCTAGCTCCTATCTAAAAATCCTCCCTCAGGGCTTTACCTCTAGCTAAATATCTGGACACCTGTCTCAAACCCATTTCTCCATCTCCCCAGCAGCAGAGTCCTTTGATGGGGAGGCTTCTCTTTGCAGAGCCCACTGGGCCAGCTGTGAACCTCTCCAGACCAATGACAGAAAACCTGTGGAAGTGCTAGCAAAAATCTCAGCAAAGGAAGGGATGGGTACTTGTCCTCTAACTGTATTTCCTATGATGTCCGCTCTCTCAGAGCCAGCACCCAGGCAATTAAGATGTCAGCTCTACCTGGTTTCTCCTGGATCCAGGACGATTCCAGGCCTACTGGAGTGGGGTTCTAGGGCTTTCATTTCCTCCTTTCCCTCACATATCTGGAGGGCAAGGCACCTGCAGAAGTTAGTTTTGGCAGCCAGTGCTGCTGGACAGAGAAAGGGCCATGATATCAAAATGAGTAGCCCAAGGGCACAGGGACAAGTGGCTCTCTGTCAGAGAAGCCTGGCCCCTGCCCCAGCTGGGGCGTGGGCAGGGCGGGCTCCTGCTCGCGAGTAAGGTTGCTTCTTCCCTCCTTCTTGTCACAGTGCCCCTGGAGAGGATCAGATTTCAGAGAATCCGAGAGAGGCAGAGCTGGAGCAGGGGAAGTGAGGTCAGAAAACAGGTTTCCCGTGAACTGGGACAAGAGCATGTGAAGAGAAAAGAGCCATGGGGTAACCTGTGCGCGAGTGACAGCGGCGGGAACCCGCGGGGCTGACAGGGCGACGGGCAAGCACATAACGTCAGTGGAGCCGACCCCAGGGAAAGGCAGCGACCTGGAGGCCGCGTCGA